TTTTTTGTTTTTTTTGTTTTTTTTTTTTTTAGTGTGCAACACAGGATTTGATACATACTACAGACTCAATAATTGTTGAATAATTGAATAAATGGTCAAAAGATATTTTCCACTACTTTTTCTCATTTCAGGAAAAGTGCAGTGTTGTGAAAGTTTGCAATATAGACAAGAAAAGTGTAATGCTATGGTTAGAATTCTGGTCCTGTACAAAGACAACTTTGGTTTTAATTATAGTTCTGAAATTGATGGGTGAGTTTTTTGACAATAAAATGTCTTTATCAATATATTTTTCCTATCAAATGGATATTGTCATATTTTCAGCATTTACTTAACCAAACTTTAACTGTCCCAATTATCCATCTATAGTGGAATAAATGGTTCAGAATATTTCATTACTAAAGTCAGAAAATGACCTGGTTATGAAATTTAGCTTCTTAATAAAGCCTACCTGTGGAAAAAGCTCAGAACATAAAACTCTAATGGGACTTCTCCACATTTTGAGATTTTGAGATAATGGTTCAATAAACAAATTATAAACTTTATCTTCTGGAATGAGTAAGCTACATAAGATAGTTAGCCTCTTTTCCTTACTCTATAAGTTTCTAATCCCAACAGTGATGATCCAAATCTCTCAATGCAAAGGCTTTTCATCATTAATGAACAAATTCCATTATGAATTTGAAATACTCAAAATTAATCTCTCCTTCCCCTACATTGCCCAAATCCCTTATACCCCTGGTGCAAGATTGATTAGTCTGTCTTGCATTAAAAGTATTCATTTATGTATCTCTCTTTCATAGTAGATGCTGAGCTCCTGTAAGATAGATATGTTTCCCTGTGTCTAGTGCATTATTACTTTGTACTAATAGATGGTCAAAAACACTTACTGAATTAAATCTGGTAGACTTTTTGTATATCTAAGACGCTTGGCGATTATATATCCAGATTTTATTAGATATCACCAGGCTAAGCTTAGTCTTCTCAAAATATTACATTTTGGCTAGTAACCCTTCTTTCTAAAAATTCTAGAAGCAGAAAGATAAACTGAATTATATTAAACCTTACATTAACAGACTTTTGGTTACTTTATGCCAAAATCAACTGTGGTCCTACTCCTCCTTCAATGTACAGTACTCTTAACTCCAGTAGAATTTGTATCTTCATGGGGTTTCTTGGTCTCTGTCACCACTGGACTAAATCATAGGGAAGCAGTGTGGATTGAGGTTAAGATGGCAGCCTTTGGAATCAGACTGCCTGGTTTTAGATCTCCAATCCAACACTCACTCATTAAAGACACTAAGGCAAGATATTTAAACCTGTGAAAGCTTTGTTCTCATTTTTTAACTGTAGATAATAATAATATGTACCTGTCGGTTATTTGGGGGGATAAATAAGATAGCTCATAGATGTGACTTAGCAAATAAACACACTGGCATCTAGTAAGTAATGAACATTAAAAGAAAAAGTCTTTGAGTTCTGATACAATGCTTAGAGTGAAATAAGCACTCATTAAATATTCTTTTGAATAAAGTAAACGCGTCTTGATTTCTTATGTGTTAGGCAACTGAAAGCCTATGGTTGCTGATCATTGTATTATAAAATTATCCTGAGATGTTTAAAATCTAGCTATATGTGTGTTCCAATTAGTGGGTATATCAAGGTATTGCCCCATCCTTTTTTTAAAAAGGATGACACAATATTTTTTGGAAAAAAAAAAAAAAAACCTGATCTCACGGAAGACATGAAGTTTATCTTTTCATCTGCTTCTTTTCTGAGGATTACCATTCCCCTCTGTGCCTAAACAGAAGCACGGCTGCTAAAATGTTGACTTGTGAGAGTCATGGTATGCTATTCAGACCAGCCTATAAGCTTACCAAAAAGCCAACTGAAAAATTAAAAACTAAAAAAGGAAACCATAGCCACCATAAGAAACACCAGCACTATCACTGACAAAAACAGGAAGTTACAGCCAAGAACCAGATACAGAACTAATTGGTTGAGTACTGGATTTTTAAGACATAGTACAGGAATGCCCCAAATAATATATTTAAACAAATATTTGTTAAATATGTAAATCAGAAGAAAGTAGAATACCCTGACACATTGTCTAATAATCTGAATACACAAAGTCTTTGTGATTGTGAAAAGAAATGAAGCCAAAAGTCACCTGGAAACATCAGCAAATGTCAAGATATAACTATAAGAAAATGTCACACCTTTAAATTACATCACTAAAAAAATCATCCCCCCTTTAAATTACAATCACATCCCATTTCATGGACCATCTCTAATTCTACTACAATTATTTTTATTGATTTATCTTCAAGATCTTTGTCTTAAAATAATTTGCTATTCATATACATGTATCTCATTCTGAAACTAGTATTTTTAAACGCTAAGAAAGTCTGTGATGATACAGCATTACTATATCAAAAATGTGCTGTTGACATCCTTCAACATAATAAACAAGATTCGAGGATATAAAACTTTCACATAAATCCTTATCTGTAAGGGCGCCTAGGCGGTTGAGTCTGTTGAGTGTCCTACTCTTGATTTTTGGCTCGGATCACGGTGGGGGTTGTGGGATCAAGCCCCATGGCGGGCTCCATGTGAGCATGGAGCCTACTTATGATTCTCCCTCTCTCCCTCTCCATCTGTCCCTGCCCCCACCTTGTGCTTGCTCTCTCTCACTCACAAAAGCAATCAATCAATCAATCCTTATCTCTAGGAGTAATCTTGGGATACAACTGAATAACATAGTAGTTTAAAAAGTAGTTCAGTAAATTAGAATGAGGTTAAAAGTAAAACAATTCTGATTCACTGTGACCTTTCTGAATTACAACTTCATGTGACTCTTTTTTATTCTTCTACTAGTTTCTTTAAGACAGCATGTAACATAAGTTTGTATGCTTTATTTCTACTAATACTTTTATGTGATTCTATTTACCTCATGGATACTTATTTTTCTATTTCTTATAACTTTCAATAAGATTTTAAAACATATGAAAATTATTTAAAATCCAAACATCTAATGATTAAGTTTCTTGCCCAATGTCATATTTTATGAGATAGTTCTTCATAAACTGATACATATTACTGAGAAGGAGACATATCTATTTCTCTCCTGGTGTGGATATCAGAGAATGGTTCCATAGAGACCAAATTAGAGAGAATGAACAATTTTGAAATTCCTCCTGAGTTAGGCCTTTATTATTTTATTTAAAATAATTTTCACAGGACATCTGGGTAACTTGGCCGGTTAAGCTGCTGCCTTCAGCTCAGGTCATGATCCTAAAGTCCTGGGATCGAGTCCTGCATTGGGCTCCTTGCTCAGTGGGAAGCCTGCTTCTCTCTCTGCCTGCCACTTCCCCTGCTTGTGCATTCTCTCTCTCTCTCTGATTAAAATATATGTTTTTACATATACATATATAAAATAATTTTCACAAATACCATATATCACAAAGAATACCATAGAGACAAAATATGATTCAAAGTGGATTATAAAGACTACTGAGATTTCTCTCCACTCACGTATATAAGGAGTAGTATCGCCTATGTTGTTTCAATTTTAGAACTTTCAAAACCATACTTAGTAATGATATTTCTGATGGTGCTTGCCAAGGATCTAAATAACATGGGGAAGTATGAGACTAGAGTGTAACTTTTGCTCTCATTAAGCTTTTTGCTATAGATTATGTCTATAGTCAAAAGCAAAATGTTATATTCCATTCACATTGGTAGAAAGATTAATTTATATATAAAGTATATTCGTTTCTTCTGCATAGTTTGAGATACACTGAATGGCTACAAAGAAAATACCAAATTCAACTTCTTTTTCAGAGTATAACAGCAAACAAAGGTATTAAAACAGACTAGATTCCCAGGAGTAAGTAGTTAAATTCTCCTACGTATTTATACATTTAAAATTTTAATAACAATTTCAGTGTGTTCTTAAACACCAACCTTGCCTAGTGCAAAATTAACAAATTTGGGGATTAAGTGGAAGTTTTCATCTGATATATCAAATTTTATATTAAAAAAGATTATTTTTAATTTTATTTCAAATGCAAAGACAGTTTTAATAAAAATCAACTTGGTAACAGTGTTCAGAGTCGTTGCTACTATATTAAAGATCAAATATGCATTCCAAACGAAGGTGTGGTACAGATATCCTCCCGGGCAGCCTAAAGGGCCAAACCATGAAGCAAAATAATTTTTTTTTTTTAAAGATTTTATTTATTTCTCTGACAGAGAGAGAGACAGCGAGAGCAGGAACACAAGCAGGGAGAGTGGGAGAGGGAGAAGCAGGCTTCCCGCCGAGCAGGGAGCCCGATGTGGGACTCGATCCCAGGACCCTGGGATCATGACCTGAGCCGAAGGCAGACGCTTAACGACTGAGCCACCCAGGCGCCCAGCAAAATAATTTTTTTAAAAATTACCCCTCTATCCTTCAAACACTGAGGTATCAACCCTGGATTTTTAAATAAAATAATCTTTATTAAAGCACTAATGCATTGTAAGTAAACATGTATTTGATGCACAGACATCACCGAAGACTATATTTTATATCAATTAAGTAACATACCACTGTGAGATAGAAAAACACATAATCAATGCAGTATCTAATTCTGTTAGAATTAGATTACCTGAGTTCCAATGATGTTTCTTCCCTCTACATAAAATAGACATATTTTTTTTTTCAGTTGATCTAGAGTTGTAATAGCAGAGTCACTAAAAAGCAGACAAAACTTAAAAATAGTCTATGTAACCCCTCTTGTGGGGTACAGGCCAGCACCACACAAACACTGTTAATATTTCTACAACAAACTGTGGATCAACACATCAAGTGAGATAAATTTGGTCTATAAACACTCTGTTCAGTTTTAGGCACGTTTTGCTGCCCAGTGAGCTCAGACTGGGTTCATTTCTGTCAGTCACTCAATGATAATACACTCACAGGTGAGCAATACCACTCCAAGGAAAACAGAGAAGACTCTTACCTTGGCACGTAAAACCTCTTTCTTCATAGCCAGCATTGCACGAGCACTTGCCAATGGGTACAAGCCATTCGCCTTCTGTACTGCAGTACATCTTGGGAGGATCTTCCTCCTTAGAATTGTTAACACAAGATCCTCGAACCTCCACCAGGGATTGGGAATCCATGGGTACTGTGTCTGGAAACATAGCCAGATTCTTCACTGTAAATGGGCACTTTTTGAAGTACACTCGTACGGAAACTAAGGCAACACAAGCACCAACATCTTGAAACGCCAAATAAAATCCCTTTTTGTTGACAGGACCTACTTCTCTAACCTCAGTGTTGAGTTTCAGAATACGGTCCCCAAGATCCATTTGGGTGAAACTCTCATCAGCTGCAATGGTGTCAATCTTTGTAAACTGATGTTCTCGAAATTTGACCCCATGATCATCATCAGACTCCATGTAGTACAAGTTGAAAGTCTCCTTGCAAGTTCCCAAAACCAATGGAATGCTATTGCAATCCCGTAGAGTGAACTTGAGCTCCACATAGATCTTCTGAGCTGAGTTCCTGGGGACCCAGTTTGTCCTCAGCCAATTATTTTGACTATGATCCATGACATTGCACACCTGGTAAGTCCTGATGGGTGTGTAATGTTCATCAACACCACTGATCTCTTCCCACTGAAGAATCAAAGGAGAAAAAAATGAGAGGCAGAATTAATGAATGACTCATAATGAATAATAATGAATACAAAATGAGGGTGCTAATTAAATCACAGGATATACAAAATTATTAAAGAGAAACTTCAGTGTTACTCATTAAAGATCATGACATGGAGCAACTCCATGACATTCTTATATGTAGGTTTATTATTTGCAGGTTTCTCTGAGTTCATTGACCCTAAGTAATTTATAATTTTGATGAATGCATTCAAATTGTATTGTGGTTTGTGGGATATCCAGGAAAAAAAGTTGCTTAGCAATTGATTATACCTAGACAAATATTCCAGCATCAAAACCTCAAATCAGTTAACTCAAATAACACTATGAAATGGTTTTGTTGTACAGATGGTTTTGATTGTGTTTTGTTTGTTATTTAAAAAGAGAATGAAAAATACGGCTGCCTAAAATAAATTTTTATTCATCTTACCCCAATTTGGTCCAGAATTTAGTAAAATCAGTATCTGGCAAAACAGGGAGAATCTAAATGATGTCATTACCACATATCTCCACACATGACCTTTTTTAACATACTCAGTCATTTCAAGGAATACATGATGAACTACAAAAGAAGATTTGAAGTGAAAATACAAACATGTCTCCCTCTGCCAACAAAATAAAAACCTAATAGCTATACACAGAAAACAGAAGATGTAAATGTAGTGAACATTTCAATTCCTAATATCTTTTACTCACACTGAATTTTACACAAGCAAGAAATAAGTGGCTATTTCCTTTTTTATTATTACAGCAGTTAAAGTTATCCTAACACTTTTTTCAATGCAAAAACACTTAAAAAGTTTCAAGACTTTTTAGGACAGTGAAGCACTGCTTTCTGTGATCCTTAGCATAGGTTTTTAAACTGGCATCACGTTGTTTGTGGTACTTATGATTCTGCAACTATTATACCATCTGTTTCTAACTATTATACCTGTGTCTACACTTTTTTTTGCCATGCCAAATTTTGCCCTGTGCTGCCAGGAAAATCTATCATCCTTTGTCATGTCATACCTGAATTCAAAGACTTCTATGGCTGCCCATTGTCTATACAAATAACTTCAAACTCTTTAGTTTGGTATTGACATTCTTCCAAAAACTAATTCCAAAATACATTTTTTTTCTAAAAGTTTGAATGGAGATTAGTGAATTACATGTTTCACATACTATGTCCTTGTCAGTGTGAACTTTTTTACTGTTGTCAAAAGCCATGTTAGATCTTCTTTTGTTTATGGTATAACTCCAACTTGACTGTACTCTTTTCTCCTTGAAGCCATCCATACCCCTGCCATTCTTAAGAAATTCTCTATTATATAACCTTTATTATTTTTTCTTTTTTTCCAATTTTTTATTTAAATTCTAGTTAGTTAACATACCGTGCAACATTGGTTTCAGGAGTAGAATTCAGTGATTCATCATTTATGTACAACCCCCTGTGCTTATCACAAGTGCCCTCCTTAATGCCCATCACCCATCTATCCCATGCCTCCTCCCCCTCCTCCATTAACCCTCAGTATATTCTCTATCTTTAAGAGTCTCTTAATAGTTTGTTTCCCTCTCTTTTTTTTCTCTCTCCTCCCATATGTACTATACAACCTTTATTAAATGCCTTATGCATTTATAAATTTAATTCATGATGCATGCTAAGATTAGTTTAATTTTGTTTCATATGCATTTGCTACAGTTTGGACCTCTTCATAACCTCCATAATATGCAGCACACATTATCAGAGAGATGTATAAAAATTATTATTTTTTCTCATAATATATGTAGAAATCATTCAAGGGAGAACAAATATAAACTTCTTATAACAGAATATATTTTATTTTATTTTTTAAAGATTTTATTTATTTGACAGAGAGAGCACAAGCAGAGGGAGAAGCAGACTCCCTGCTGAGCAAGGAGCCCAATGTGGGACTCGATCCTAGGACCCTGGGATCATGATCCGGGCCGAAGGCAGCCGCTTAACCAACTGAGCCACCCAAGCGTCCCCAGAATATATTTTAATTTTGTAAATAAATATTTATTTGACAGAGAGAGCACAAGCAGAGGGAGAAGCAGACTCCCTGCTGAGCAAGGAGCCCAATGTGGGACTCGATCTTAGGACCCTGGGATCATGATCCGGGCCGAAGGCAGCCGCTTAACCAACTGAGCCACCCAAGCGTCCCCAGAATATATTTTAATTTTGTAAATAAATATATAAATAAAATCCTTGTGAAACCCATTAGAAATGCGTTCCAAATTCTTTTCCCCATTAAGAGAGTTAATTATTTTCATCAGGAAAGGCAAGTTTTCAATACTTAACTAAATCGATGGCATTAAAATATATGAACATTTTTCTATTTATGTATATTAAAAACACATAGGAATTCTAATCCATAGCTTCCAGTCACATTAGATAAAATTTAATCTATTGAATTGATGGTAACCACAAGGAAGAAATATAGCATTTATTTGGCCACTGGACCACATTAGAAAAAAAATAAATTATTTACATTAGGATGTTTGAATTATCAAATCCAATTTGTAGACCCCACCAATGTGATAAACACAGTTTAAAAACTTCTTATTCTCCCTTGCTCTTCTACCAACCTAAAACAAAACAAAAGCAAATAGTAAAAAGCACTACTGATGTTAATAACCTTGATCATTCAGGGTCTAAAATATAAGAGAGGCACCCATTTTCTGGAAGAAAAATTAGCTTGACTTCACTGTCATACCAAAAGTCCAACAAAGGAATAAATTTAGACTGTTTTAGAAAACCCTACACATGATATACAAAATATATCTTAATATAAGAAAAGAAAATGTCCACCCTGTACTTTAAATAACCACTAATATACCATTTTCAAACATCCACTCTATGAATTTATTATACAGGGAGCTCTTAAGAAAAAAAGTGTGCATAAGATTCTCAGTTCTGATGATTTCACACTGAGTTGCCTTTAATAGTAAAGTCACAGTCGAAGTAAAATTCATATACATGTTTAATATCAGAGAAACATAAAGAGTAAACAGAGTTGGAACTTCAAAAAACTCTGATGTTAAAAAGTCAGTATTACGTGGAATTTTTCTAGTATTACATTGGTTCTATAATAACATTGTAAAGAACTATGACAGGACTAGTAAAACTCCAGACAATAAATGCTTTACATGACATTTTACAGAAAATTAGATCACCGATATCATTATTTAAAAATAAATCAACTGACTTAAAATTTTTTAGGTCAAGGTTTTTTTGGGTTTTTTTTGTCTTTTTTATTTATCAGAATAGATATGAGTTTGTACAACTAATGAATTGGTTGTAAGTATATCTTGCTATGAACAGTATTTTACTAGACATCAAACAGGTGATGACCATATAGAGATTTTCATAATTTGATATAAAATATGATTTTAATTAGGGAGATCTCACTGTAGTTTAACATTTTTCTTCTCAATGTTAATTTGGCAAGCTATCACAAGTCCTTGAATGCAGAGGTATAATGTGCAAGAAGATAATGTGAACAGCACCAGCCTGCTTTGCACATAAAAGGTTGCAAGGAACAATAATTATCACTTCATTAATTTGTAATGACGACCAAATTGCCTGTAAGTGATGGTGTTTTGCTATCTCAGTCCACTTGCAAAAAGAGCAAGTCCCAAGCCCTAGCACTTGCTGGGGACTGAAGACAGTAGAAATAAAATCCCTAAATGAGCATATTCTCAACAGAAGCAGCAACAACAGAAATCACTAATTAAGGCTGTGGCTATAATGCTTACACTTCAGAAACTTAAAGAATGCCCATGTTTACCCTTTCTTCCAAGAACTAATGTGTAATGTTCATAAATTATTAGAAATACTATATTGCCATAGTGGGTGTCCCAAGGAAAACGTGGAAAAAGAAAATGGGTGACATATAGAATTGGTGACATATAGAATCAGGTGGTACAAAGAAAGCAGATTTCCCTTCATTTTCCTAATTAAAAAAAAAAAAATCTCTGCAAGGGGTATTCAGCAGTAACACTGTCTTCAGCAGAAGGGGATACAGAACTAGGAAGAACTCAAAATTTTTCTAAAGGTTAAATTCCCCAAAATCAACAATTCTGACATTAAGCCTAATTCCCAGATTCTTATTCTGAGCTTTTATTATTAGACCACAAAGGCCAGAACTGAGTTCCTTTTTTTTTTCTTTTTCCAAATTATTACAAACATAAGAAAATCATGTATCCAGACTTCCTCTCCCTAAAAAGATCATTCTGAAACTTATTCCCAGAAGCAGAAACAAGGTGAACCTCCCCACTATCAAAACACAGTGTAGGATACAAGAGACAATTTATATTTTTCTAGAGAGAACAGTTCCTTGTCACTGAGTGAAATATGTATTTTGGGAGGAAAACACATATATTTTAATAATTAATCAGCATTTAACCTAATAACTATCATTCTGATAAATCTCAATTATAGTAATTAAGTATTATATTAAATACTCTCTTGGATACATTTTTTAGCAACTTGTTTAAAGGGAGTAAGGAGGAAAATGTTTACATTTTTTTTAAGAGAGGAAAACCTGCAATATGTTTAGTGCATAGGCTAACATGGTTTGGGAAATACTTAAAAAGTAAGAAAAAGCACTTTTCATGATTTACCTTATAAGATTTAAAGCCAATTTCTTAGAAATTTACAGATGACAATAAAAAGAAAATGATCACTGATATTCTTATGTTTACAATATTACATTTGCATTTCAATGGCTAATAAGAAACACATAATTCTGCACTTTACAAAATGCTAACGATGACTAATCTGGCACTCAATAATTGTATGTGATATTAAGTTGATTCATGTTATTCTTTCTCCACTCATGTTTCTTACTCCCATGTTTATTCCCCTTTGTACACACATAACCATTTCAAAATTCAGAAATTTTCATCCTAGAAATATTTGAACATTTACCATGCACCAGCATTTTAAATGTGGATAT